GGGCGGAGCAGGAAGCTAAGAACCGTCATTCAGGTTGCACTACTGTCACCAAGACAAAACGAGGAGTCTCGGAATGCCGGGAATGCCCGAAAATCCCTGCGACCGGCTGCCGGAAACTTACTATGAGCCAAACCATCAGGGATCAGCGTGGAACACCACGTTAGATAAAGAAGAGGGCTTCAAACGTGGGCCGAATACTTCAAACAGCAACTACCATGGCCACTAGCTGGCACTCATCTTCACCCTACAGCTGAAGTAGAACCCTGGTGCCCCCCTACGACCCAGCAGGTCTGTGATAGCCAATCTCCCAAGCGCCACCGAGGTCCTGGTCCGGATGACCACTTGCATTGTTTAAAGATGGGATGAAGCCGTTAGTCAACGCTTGTCTGATCCGTTTGCCTGCATTGCGGAAAAGTATATTGTCCCAGGTGACTGAGGAAAATCGCGCATGGTGTCCATTTTTAAAAAAGCTGCTCGTGGTGAGTGCGGTGATCATTGGGTAATCAGCTTTAGTCCGGTCGTAACGTAACTATTGGCGCCATTCCTTCGTCGCCTTACGGTGTCCCTGAAACACTGACTGGATGACAGCAAGTCTTGTTGGGGTGGCCGTTAACCATATCTCCATATCACGTCGTGCTAGAAAACCGCCATGGGTACAAACGGCCCACAACTTTAGCAGTTCTGGATTTCCAAGATGCACTCAACTCGGTTGATCGGTATGTTCTCCTTTACACGCTTGTCTATCAAGGAGTTTGTGAACATAGTGCTCTTCATATTCTCAGACTTCTGGGCGTGTGAGGATATAAGGAGTGCTCTCTAAAAGCTCCTGTACACAAAGTGGTCCACCATCGGGGCCTATTCTCATTTAGTGTCGTGCTCGAGATAGTACTGAAACAAACGTCTGAAGCTCTTCAAAACACAGTTATTCGAATAGCAGTGAAGCATCAGTGTTGAACACTGATGTCGTGCTGTCGATGATGATGATGGTGATGATTCGAATAGCTGCTGATGAAAACCTTGTCGAATTAGATTATGTAGATGACATTGTTCTCGCCTTCGAAAAGGGGCAGGTGTATTTGGATTAACTGACCAAAGTTACTCCGTCCTTTGGTATGCGCTTTGTTTCTATGGGGTACAAGGACGTACAGTCTGAACACAGTGCATTTAAGCCAAGTAGAAGCACTCCGAATTGTGGAAGTCGTATTTGTACCGATTGGAACGTAATAGATGGGGTCAATTCACGAATCTTCAAGGCGCAGGTAACATTTACTAAGTTGTGACAATTTATCTCAAAACATGTCTATCAGACTGCAGTGCGGGCTGTTAAACGTGGTTTCTTCGGTCAGCGGAGCTAAGACGTCTTCAGGTCTTCAACACTCGTCTCAGAACCAGACCTTGTGTAGGCTGGAGTCGCCGAATCCACAACGAGGCAATCAGAAGCTTGTTCGGTTGTGCAACCGGGACTTCAGTCGAAGAATGTGTCAAGCACCAGGAATTTTGTTGGTTACGCCATGTATTAGGCATACTTAACCATTGCTTACCGAAGAGTGTTGTTTTCCATGCCTGATTCAGAGTGGCGCTACCAGAAACGTGGTCAACCTTAGACCTGGCACAGGGATGCGGAAGAGATTACAAAAATTCTGGTTGCTCTCGGTACAACTCACTTTCCGGGATGGAGCCCGCGTGATCCCGATTGTGCTTGGTTGGAAACACTGCAAGATGTCACTGTTAATCGATGTTAGTGGCGTTTTTGTTGTCAGTTTCCATCCATATTGCCTGGGTAAGTGTCTGGAGTGATTTTCACCTCGAACTGATTGTAGTAAGCTAGCGCTGAATCCTTTTCCCATCCACTTTTATTCCTGGCAATAGGGTTTTCAAGTAAATCACAATTGTGCGGCAGCGATGATTGTGATGATACCATGAATTTCTTGTTTCGACGGGCTGAAAGTTCAAACATTGTTGTGGTTTCCGGTAACCTGAATACACAAGTAGACAGGTCTTATGCATTAAGGACTCATGTCCAGTTGGGACTGGGCTATGTGCTTGCCGTAGGGTGTTTTATGCAGTACTACCGGAATGATCGAAGTCGTCTGGCCACGTAGTGTCCTCTAACAGCGTGTCGGTCAGTCAGTACGAACTTCCGAAATAGCCGAAGTCGTCTGGCCACTTGGTGTCTTCCGACAACAGGCCGGCCACAAACTCAAATCGACCACATTGCCATCAGTTACTGATGGCGCGGATCCATAACTGACTGTCGGTCGTTTTGGAACACATTTGTGGACTCTGACCACGCGCTCGTCCGGAGTCGCGTAAGGTGCGAACAAATCGCATGGCATCTGAAAGACTGGCAGATCCGGATATCAGCCGAACTTACAAGGATCGTCTTCTAGAGTCCCTTCCAAATGATCCACCATCAGAACTCATACTTGGACGAGATTGCCACTTCTTTGCATAGTGCTGGGAATTTTGCCTGTGGGACGACCCAACTAGGCGCACTCAAGCACTGGATATCAGGCCGAACGGTGGCACTACTCAAATCCCGATGAAATATCCCATCCGGTCCCGAACATAATCCGGTGCGAAGAGCTATCAGACGCCAAGTGAAAATGAGCTTGCGATCCGACCGTGAAGAATGGTGGACACAGAAAGCCAAAGAAATGGAAGAGGCCCAGAAAGCCGGTAATGCCCGGAGATTATTTCAGTTGATCCGTGCGACCGGTCCCCGGAAACCACCTGTGAG